TAAATGTGTTAAATAAACATACTTATACTTTAGATGACAAAGTATTTTTCACAAATAAATAAATATTTTATAAATAATATAATAAAAAAGGAAGTAAACACTGTAACAGGGCACTCAGTATTCTGGGAAGTTTGTGTGCATTATTATTTTATATACAGCACACAGTGAAAATGACATGAATATGACAGTGGGCAAATGCATAAAGCGCAGCATTATTTGAAATCACGAATTTAACGTTTAAAGCATTCAGTTTGCACGGACCGAAAGTCACGCAGAGAACACGCGATCATGCAGGATACACATGCACACTTCACAAGATCTCACAACTGGATTCGACTAAGTTTGCAAGGTTTGTAAAATTAAATGTTCATTAGCCATTCAAAGATTTGTTTAAATGATGTAAATGCGTATTTGCTGAATGCTGACAGCAAACGAGAAAGTATTATAATGTTTGCCTTTCTATTACTAATCATATAAATGCAATCGTTATAATACTTTTTGTATACATTTTAATTCCTTTTTTTAACAGGTCTATCGGATTATTAGAGAGACTTCTATCTGTATTAGACAGAACTGTTAACGGTGACGGCGTTACAGGCGATACAGTTTATCAGCCACTAATACTTTTGGGTACCTTTTGAGAGTATATTTAAAACGTAGAACTAAAAATGTGTCATTTAAAGTTTGCATCAACTTTTTACTCAAACTGTTACGGTGAAAACATATGTAATATAAAAAGCATTAAATTATAAAAAATTGTTACTAGCAATGTCAGACTTTTGAACTATCTTTTTGCATACTGAATTGTGATTTGTTGTCTTTTTCTTATACACTACCATTCAACAGTTTGAGGTCGGTTAAGATTTTGTTAATGTTTCTGAAAGTCAATCATCACAAAGCTGCATTTATTTGATCAAAAATAGAATAAAAACTGTAATATGGTGAAATATTATTACAATTTAAAATAACTGTTTTCTATTTTAATATACTTTAAAATACAAGTTATTTCTGTAATGCAAAGCTGAATTTTCAGCATAATTACTCCAGTCTTCAGTGTCACATGATCCTTCAGAAATCATTCCAATATGCTGATTTGCTGCTCTAGACGCATTTTCTTCAATAGTTGGCATTGTTGAAAACAGTTGTGCAGCTTAATATTTTTTTTGAAGCTGTGATAATTTTTTCACAGGATTCTTTGATTAATAGAAAGTTCAAAAGAACCGTGTTTATTTTGGGGGAAAAAAAAATATATATATATATAATATGCTATATATAGTGCTGCTTGAAAGTTTGTGAACCCTTTAGAATTGTCTATATTTCTGCATAAATATAACCCAAAAAATCAACAGATTTTCATGCAAGTCCTGAAAGTTGACAAAAAGGACCCAATCAAAGAAATTAGATGACAATATATACTTTGTCATTTATTTATTCAGGAAAATGTGTGAAAATCCAATTATGTTTTGGGTCATATTTATGCAGAAATATAGAAAATTCTAAAGGGTTCGCAAACTTTCAAGCAGCGCTATATATATATATAATTTTATTATTATTTATTTATTCTGTAACAATGTGAAAGTCTTTACTGTCACTTTTGATCAATTTAATGCATCATTGCTGAATAAAAGAATTCATTCAATTTTCTATAAAAAACATTATACTGACCCCAAACTTTTGAATGGTTGTGTATGTATCCACATCTATACTAGTGACACACTGTTCAGAATTTTGAATGAGTCCTCTGCCCTCCTCAGCTATCCGGTACTGTGACCGCTGTCAGTTGATCAAACCGGACAGATGTCATCACTGCTCCACATGTGACAGGTGAGTCCACTCAGAAAACATTCTTATCTTTTCTGTATTGGATTTGCACAATATGTATTTTGATCCTTTTTGGTTTTCCCAGATGCGTGCTGAAAATGGATCACCACTGTCCATGGTACGCACATCTGTGGATGCATTCAGTTTATAATCTGAAGTTTTGTTGCCACATATTCTATAACTTAGGTGCTTTAGCTACTATGTGGCTTATAACTCTGTTTTTCTCTCTGTTTTCTTCCAGGGTTAATAACTGTGTTGGATTCTCCAACTATAAATTCTTTGTGCTGTTCCTGGCGTACTCTATGCTGTACTGCGTCTACATCGCTGCCACAGTTTTGCAGTACTTTATCAAGTTCTGGACAGTAAGTCCACACATTCACACAAAGACATCTGATTCCTCTCGTTTCTCACACTTCTCGCTTCTCATCTTCTGCTATTTCAGAGAGCCAACTTCAGCTTGTTTTTCCATTAATCTGTTTTCCTGTCTATTACAATTTCCACAAAAATATTAAGCAGCACAACTGTTTTAGCATATTTGAATGATTTCCAAAGGAACATGTAACACTAAAGACTGGCGTAATGATGCTGAAAATTCAGCTTTGCCATCACAGGAATAAATTATATTTAAAAATAAATCAAAATAAAAAGCAGTTTTAAAAATAGTAATAATATTTCACAATATTGCTGTTTTTACTGTATTTTGAATTACAATTGTTTTTATAAAATAAGCAGCTTTGGTGATTTGAGACTTCCGTAAGAGACTTCTTTCAAAAACATTAAAAATCATACCAAAACCAAGCTTTTGTATTGCAGTGAATGCTGTTTTTTTCATTTATATACATCAATATAACACTATATATTTTCCTCCATATATTTTTACTAAAACATTTTAACATTCATAAATGTCGTGCAATGATCTTTGTGTGTGCGTGTCAGTTTTTTGAGACGCAGAAAGAAGTAAGAAAAAAGGGATGAGTCTGCTTCTAACATTCTGTCTGTGTTTTTAACACTTTGTCTGAAGCTTTGCAGACGGAGGGCTATAGAGCATTGCCCGGAGGTAAACCACTCACGCTTGCTTTGCACTGTTGTGACTGTGGGCGATGGTTTGATGTTGCACTGTTGACTCATTTTGCTTTGTTTTCTTTTACTGATTAAAATAAACAGCAGTGTTGCAATAAAGAGTGTAGTTTAGCATATTCAAATATACAGATGCTTCTTAGTGGTACAGCAGCCAGTTCTTACCAGACATGGATTGTAGTGTTGAGGCTGTTAGATCTAGATGTCTTCTTGAGCTCTACAACTACTACTGATGCCATTAAATAAATGTGGACATCTGACGATATTAAAGGTAATGTGTGTAATTTTTTCTATTCTAGTTTGACAGCAGCACTGGCTCAACCAGTGGTGTGAGTTTGGGGTGGGATTTTTTTTCCCCCCAATGCTTTGGGGAGATCGCAAATGGGAAAGTGTCTGGGAAACGCTTTTTCACTTTGTGTGGCGATGCTAGTGGTACAGAAATTACGCACTTCACCTTTAAAGAAATCAGCTGTAAATTCAGTTTATTTGTAAAGTGCTTTTTAGAGCAGCCTTACAAATGGCCCAGTGAGCAAGGGTCTTGCCTAAATATGCCTTAGTAGTGCTCTTCAAACTACACGGGTATATTTGATGAATGTATCTCCAAAAAACACTTTTTTTTTTTTTTGTCATTCTCTCATGTTCTGCTTTCTTGCTCAACAGAATCACTTGCCAGACACTCATGCAAAGTTCCACGTGTTGTTCCTGTTCTTTGTGGCGGCCATGTTCTTCATCAGCATCCTGTCACTCTTCAGCTACCACCTGTGGCTCGTGGGAAAAAACAGAACCACTATAGGTAAGATGTTGTTAATACTTGCTGCTTCTTTTTCATTAGCTTTGTAATTAATTTCCAACTGCTTAAATGTTGTTGCTGCTATTTCTTGCTTTTTCATCTCCTCCTTTTCCTTCACCTTTTTATCATCTTTTTTTGGCTTAATTATTCTCCAACTGTTGAAATTGTTGTTGTAGTTGTTACCTTCTTCTCCTCCTTTTATTCCTCTGTCTCCTTATTCTTCTACTTCTTTCTTCTCCTTCCTTTCCTCCTCATAATTTCTTTAAAGTTTAATTCATCTCCAGCTGTTAAAATGTTATTTATATTTGCTCCTTATTCTACTTTTTCTTTTACTAGTATTTATTCTCCTTCTACTTTTTTCCTCCTCCTCCTTATACTTTCTTTAGTTTAAATCATCCCCAACTTTTAAAATATTATTAATATTTGCTCCTACTTCTCCTTCTGCTTGTTTTTCTTATTTTTGTTATAGTTCTTTAATTTTTAAATAATACATTGTGATTGGTTGTCTTTCACTACACTGCAAACACTGCTGTTTCTTTCAGGAAATGCCCGTCTTGTAAATAAAGTTATTGTTTCTTTAGATTCTGATAACTTCCTCAAAGAATTTCAGTCCAGGTTCATATTTCCTTTTCCGTCACTCTTTGTTCTTCTAGTCCTCCTTTCTCTTCGCTCCATATTGTGACCTATTTTTGATCATTTCTTACTGAGGGAAACTGCAGTCACATGTTCAGTCAAATAAAACTTTGCTGATAGAAGTAAAATGTAAATGAATGTGGGGGTGGATTGTGGGTGTGCTTATGAACAATATTTAAGTCAAACTTCAAGAGGAAAAGGAAAAAAAACTTTTCTGTGCCCTTCAATGCAGTTTTGATGCACCTCCCAAAGGTTGTTCTAAAGTTAAGGATGTCATTTGTGTTGTGTAGAGCAGGAACAGACCTCATCCTAATCTCTCATCCATCTGTTCAGAGGCGTTCAGGGCACCGGTGTTCAGAAATGGCCCAGATAAAAATGGCTTCACTCTGGGCTTCCGCAAGAATGTCACCCAGGTGTTCGGAGACCAGAAGAAGTGTTGGTGCTTGCCCATTTACAGCAGGTACAAAACACATCCATCAAGCATCATTTGGGATTTTACAGTGTTTGAGAGGAAGTGTTAATGCATTTCAATTAAAGATTGCAAAACTAAAAAAAAAAAAAAACGTTTTTCTTTGGAATTCAGGAATGTGTATTAAGAATGTGAATAAGATTCATTTTAAAATTAAAGGGGACATACACACATTTTCGCCAATCTCATGTTAATCTTGAGTAGCTATATAGTAGTATTGCATCCTTCATATCTCTAAAGAGTCTTTAGTTTTATCAGATTTATAAAAGAAAGATACAGCTTTACGATTCTCTCCGAAAACAGCCGAGCTCCTGGAGGCGAGCCGTGGGCGGAGCTAAAGAGTTGCGAGCACTTACGCGCCGATTGCCAACAAAACACAGAAAATTAAAGCAGTTTTACTCACCGCCTGCGATTCCAGCTCATGACCGGGATATTTTATCGCTGGGACCGCTCTATTGTTCAGTATCAAACGATCTGCAAATCCAGCGTCGAACTGGGCTTTGTTTATAAAACATTCGTCATCGAAATGACGGGAACAAACACACACGTGCGAAACTCCATTGCTGTCCCGGAAAAACAAACTGCATCCACTGTTCCCTTAACGCTGGGTTCTTTGGGAAGCTGAACAAGGTTATCTTTCCCTCACATCTAAAAACACACTTCTTTGGAAACATTCTTCTCGAGCAAGTCCTGTGCAGCGCTACTGACAACTTCCATAACCAAATGAAGCACGTTGATGGGTGCATGCTCTCGCTCTATTTGCTGTGTGCACACGCTCTTCCGGGAGAAGTGCCCATACAAGGAATTCCTCTCTTCGTGACGTCATGAAGAGCCATGCTCAAAAAAAACAACTTTCCGAAATGTATTCAATCCCGGAAGGAGTGTATTTGACACAGAAATACTCCATACGTCCAAATCGTTTTTTGAAACTTTGGCCATGTTTAGCATGAGAATCCAACTCTTTAACAATGTAAATAACTCAGAATGCATGAAATGGCATTAGACCTCCCCTTTACGTTTTATAAGCATTCTCATGAGATGTTTTTGGCAGGTAGCATGAGTAACTGTTTTTTTTATCTAGTTTGGGCGATGGCTACACATTCCCTACCCGCCTAGTCAACGCTGACTCGGAGCAAGGCAATGCTGAACACCAGGCCATTAAATGGTAATTACAATCTCATTTGTTAACAATACCACTAGTAACTTGAATGACAGTATAATTCTGCAGTTTGGCATGAATTATGATAATTTTCCCCTTCAGCTGTTTCAGATCATTTAGTTATGTTGAGTCTTTTTTTAATCCCAGATCTGTTTTCCCAGAAATGTAGTCTTCAGAGTGTCAACATTAATTTTATAATGTAATGTGAGGTGAGGTTTATTCTGGGCCAGTGAAAACATCCGTAAGCGTTTGTGACTGACACATAATGGTTGTTATGGTAACAGCACTGTTGATGGACAGACAAACCCCAGACCTCTGAGTGAGTCACAGAATCATCTCCTAGGCAACGATATGCACTCTGAGGAGCAGAAAGACAGCAGCCCGACAAACATCGGTACGTCACCACTCAGCTTTTACACCCCTCGTAAATGCTAAAGAACATTGTGAATTTTTTTCGAGGCATCACTAGACATTATTAAAAATCGAATGATTTCCCTGAATCTTTGCCGCTTTGATGCTCTGCTCCTTAATATACACCCGCCTGCTCCCTAACGACATATTACACTATAATATGAGGAAATGTATGCATTTATGAAATTGATCCGTCTGGGTTTGTCTTGCAGAGGTGTGTCAGCCTGTTTCAATTACTATGGAGAATGAGTCCTAATCAGGTGAGTCTTCAGTTTGAACATCCAGCCAGTGTTACTAGCCAGGTTTCCATCCAAGGATTTTTTTTGGCGAAAAAAATGTTTAGCACTTCAGAATGTTTACCAATATAGCTTATGGAAATGCCATTTATCGATAAAATTGTTGACACACTATTTTTTCTGTTTAACTTTAGTGCATAAATTCTATATCGATACTTCAAATGTCGCAAAAATTTGTTTGCAAATAAATGTGGTGTCATATGACAGAATTAGCCTATAGGCAGTGTGTGTTTTTGGTGTTGCTCACGATAAAGCACCATTTCTCAGTAGTTCAGAGGTGCATTAAATCTATCATATTCATATTATTAAATTGTATATAAAATTATTTTATTACTATGGTAAAAATAAGATGTTACCTCTCAAACATAGCCTGTTTTTTTTTTACTTGATTAGCCTACTTTTTAGTAATGTTGCAAGTTAAAATGTATTCATTTTGTTCTGAAGATAAAAAAAGTCAAGTTGCATTCTGTACACTGTAAAAAAAGAAAAAAGTGGTTTCAACTTAAAGTGCTCATGCTGCTCATATTGCTCATATTGACCGGTTAACAGTTAACCTACAGTAAGAATTTTGACAGATTAATGCAATCAGCTAAATAGCTTATTGGCTAAATTAGCTTATCAGCTTATTAGGAAATACCGGTAGCCTAAATAAAGCTAAATGTTTACAAACATTATAAAAATATCTAGGCTATATGCTATTTTAGTTCCCGTCATTCCACAACAAATCCTTTTAAATTTAATGGTATACTCAGAACACAACAAGAATGAAAATATAAGAAGCCTAAACGAACGACAAGCCAAAACTAAATAATTTAAAGGGTAACTGAAACAGAAACCGACTTGGCCTCACAAACCACTCTCATTCAGTACCAAACCAAATGTTTCCATGTTTGCTATGTATTTGGATGCCAAACTATGATTTATTATGTAGGCTAAACTGGGTTTTGTACTCGTGCTCCAGTAGGCTAAAACAAAATGTGCGTGGCATAATTCTCACGAATGGCACAGATTGTACTATGGGCTATTTAAATTGAGCAGTGTGTTTTTTTTCAATATGTTTGGTTGACTGTATTTTATGATGATAATGAACAGGCTGCATTGTCAAGCTAGCAATACTTAGAACTGTGTGCGCTTGTGAGGGGTCTGCACGATCACTTGAATTTTTATCTTATAGAATACTCCTTTTGTAGTCAAATAATTAAGAGTAAGACATCATTCGAAACTATTTGAAATATGATTTTTATTTGTGTGCATTCACAATAAGAACAAAACATTGTGCTTTTGTAAAATAAAGGAAACAAACAGGATGCCGCTTTCACAAGTTTCATTTTCAGGTCTATGCTCAAGAAGTGGTTAACAAGTAATAAATGGATCATAACTATTCCATAAATATAATTTAGTACAATAAATTCCCCTAATAATACAAAATATTAAATAAAAAAACATTGTCAAACTAAAATATAGTACATTAATTTCATTGAAATATTCAGTGTTCATTAGCTGGAAAAAAATTCTGAAAGTGATTCCAACTATATCCTTCCTCTCTGTTGTTATCGTTTCAGTTGTTGTATGGACTTCTCTTTTCTCAGAATTAAAACAAAAATATAAAGTAGTCCTTGTACCAATTAATAGTTCTAGTTACCTTTGGTGCAAAGTTGTTTACTTAGAAAAGTTTTCTCTCTTTCCTTACAGGACTTGGCATGGCACCAGGATTTTTTCTCATTTATGAGTACTGTTGTGGTGAGATGTCATGTGAAAGAGCACACAACCCTCAAGATATCATGCCTTAAGGTTAGCAGCATTCTCTCATATGGAAACGACCTGCAACGCGTTGCTGTGGTGGATGTATTTACCTGCGCTCATATCCGCACAAACTCTCAAGCTCTTCACACCAAACAACTGGACGGCTCTTTCACTGGGTTTTATGATGTTGTGACTAACACACTTTCTTTTCTCCAAACATGCACATTTATTTGAACAAAATACCCTAAAATGACCTTCAGGTTGTTCTGTCCAATGTATAATGTGTTTATACTGGTTTATCTCTGGGACACTTTTGTAGACCAAAAAAGTCAGGCAGGTGTTTCTACCCAAGATGCACTTTTGTCACCAAGGATTTGTGTGGAATGCTTTGCAGATGTTTACGGAGCTGAATGAACATGAAAAGTGTATTGCAGTATTTGATAAGAATGCGTTCTTCAATTGAGATACATTTCACGACACAGCAGTGTAAACCTCAGCTAATGTACCGTAGGAGTTTCTCAAGTATTTTGTGAGATGATAATTCAGAAGAAAGTGCAATGAGGTATTTAATACTTACTTTCTAGATCTTTACATTAATGTACTCTATTTGTGGAAAACTCTATTTAGTATTCACTGATATCCAACAACTTTGACACCTCTACCCATTCATTGACACAATTTTTCTCTTTTTTTCGCTGCATTTACTTTTTTTCCAAACCTCTTTACCCCGCAGCATTATACTATCAGCTTGTGCCTTCAAATGAGGGTTAAATTTTGCAGCAGATGGTGACTTATGACATGAAAGCACACTTAAGATTTCCAGGTTGTGTAGCATACACAGCTCAGTTGATTATTATAGAGGGAACTCAAGCCAAGATGTTAAAGATGTCAGTGGAGTTTTGACATGCATTCCTCAATTTAAGTTTTAATTCCACATGAATGTGTAATGATGTGCAGTTTATAGTTTTGTTTCTGCTGTTCAGTGAGGTCTGTTTACAGCTGCACCGGAGGACTCTGACCTCATAAGGAAGCTCTTGTGTGACTGAAATACATGCATTTCTTTGCTTAATATTTTTAAGTCTCTAAAACTCATCATTTCAGAGTTGATGCTCATGGAAGTCATTGAATCATGTTCATGTGGAACGGTAATGTTTTTTTATTATAGTTTTATAGAATTGTCTATTTATGTTATTGCATGTTAATGTGAAAAGCAATGAAGGGGCGATGACTTACTGCTTTAATAGTGACCTCTATAGCAGAACATGAACTGATGAAACCATAGCAACATCATACTGAAATCTGCCATGCGTGTAAAAATAATTCCTGATAGGCTGCTGCATCTGCTGGAAGTCATGTGCTATTTGTCTGAGGACATGATTGTCTTTATGTACATTTCTACAGGCAAGGACAGTGATCATGCCAAATATAAATCATTTTAATATCAAGGAACTCACTAATCACTTACTCCCTTATGAATATGTAATATATTACTGGAATTTGAGTACCAAACATATGTAGGACCATTTTCTTTTTCTGATTTTTATTGTTCTTTATGGGGGGGACGTGTACAGAATTTTCAGCTTTTTTTGTACAGTTTGGTTCATGTTATATTTTAAGATGTTTCTGAAGTCTGAACAGTTTGCACAGATTTTCCTCGTCTAATTCAATTTAATGTTTGTACTTTGCAGATTTAACAAGTATTCAATGTATGCATTATAGTATTAAGACTTAATAAAAAAAAAAATTCGGCACACTGTGGGCATGTGATTTTTGACAGGGAAAAAGGAATAAAATAAATTGATTTGGGCAATAGACTAACAATGTTTTTTTATGGTGAATTAATTCAGTAAACTCCAAAGAAATCCAAACCTATGTTTCCCGTCTCACCTCATCTACAGTCCTGAAAATGCAGGGTATTTAGTTGTTAGGCTTTGGAATGGTATTAGAAACGCCTTTTCATATCATACAGGAAAGATTCTCTTACTTAAATCTATAACTTCTGTTACATAAATGTTCATTTCCTTTGATGAAAAAAAAAGAAAAAAAAAATTCTTAGTCTACAGTCTTTGTCATATTTGAGAGCAGTCAACCAACCTTTGACTTTCATTTACACACAAAGTTGTCAGTGCTGATCTTTGATCTCAAATGACATCAGATGAAAATGGGATGCTGATCTTAAATCAGCACTGTAATTATGGAGTTAAATTGCTCCAATGCAGTGACATTAAACCTGTAAGCCGTATAAAACAGTGACGTCTAAAGTTCAAACAGCAGCAGAGGCTAAACAACACAAATGATTAACTCAGAAATTAGTTTTAATTAAATTGACAACATTAAAAACAAATTAGGAAGACTTGTAATCAGAGGTGAATAATTCGGATGATATTTGAGCATTAAAACAAACAGCCTGTAACAGCATGACAACCAGGTCTCGTTAGAACTACAATACTTAAGCTTTGGAAATGGAAAAAAAAATAAGCACAGACAAACCACTCGACATGAAAATAATTTGCACAGAACATTTGAAAACATTTCCAAAACTCTAAAGTATGTTTTTTTTTTTTTTCAGCTAAGCTGGTTTCAACCCCCTCCAATCTTGTCTATCTCACCCTCAAGAAGTAAGCAGTTGTCTATGCACGCAGCATTTTAAGGGGAAAATACTGATTTCTTTCTTCTAAAGTGGCTTGATGTGTCACTCCGCTCTTTTTTTTTTTCCGGGTTGACAAAAAGCTTGTAGTATTTTTCCCCTTTATACTCATCCTCTCTGTGTGACATCATTTCTTCATCTCCAACTTTCACAGTGGAGGATGACTGGTTTGTACAGCGGTAGGTCAGGTCTGCGGTTCAGCCTACTTTAGCCCAGATCAGGAACGCTGGGATGTCCCGGACAGGCACGTTACGTGTGAGAGCTTTGACTCGCAGGTTGCGGTCATCCGTGAGCAAGACCACCTCCCTGCGCAACCTCACCGGCCCATCTGGAGAATACAAAGCATGTGAGTCAGAAAAGAGAAATGTTTTTATCAGCTGTTTGGACTCATTCTGACGGCACCCATTCTCTACAGAGGATCCATTGGTAAGCAAGTGACGTAAAGCAAAATTTCTCCTAATCTGTTCCCATGAAGAAACAAACTCATCCACATCTTGGATGGCTTGAGTGGATAAATTTGGGTGAACTATGTCTTTAAAAACATAGCAATGATAAAGTCAGATGCTGTAAAAATGTGTAAATGGATTAATAATTAGAAACAAATTCAGATGGAATTCAAAAGAGCGCCCTGTGTGATTGGCCCCTAACAAGTAAAAGTAAGTGAACTGACTTCTCTCAGCAGGCATGAAGTCCTTGGCTTTGTCCTGACAGTAGTGCAGACAGCAGGACAGGATGACATCATCGTTGTTGCCCTGGGGAGACAGACGCACAATGAGTGGGTGGCTTTAAAATAGAGTTTAAAGTCTTTTTAAAGTGTATTTCTGAACTTCTCAAGGGATTTTTCACACTAGAGTTGCAGGTTGATGTTGAAGCCATTTTCTGAACTTGGGTTGCGCACCATGGAACCGCGTCTGAGTCTCTCCCGACGATTGTTCCCTGAAGATTATCGTTAGACTAATTTTGCAGCCTCTCTGTCTTGTTACTTACATGAGAGTGTTAAGACAGGTGATTTTAAAAGAATCTCTAATTTGAACTTCACTATCAAAAGTAGCTTTAGAGTTGACAAATTGAGTTGTCAGTTCAGAATTAGTTTAAACTGTTAATTTCAGATCAATTCACAACTCAGTTGTGTAATCACTAAACTAAAATGATTCTGATTTTGTTTTTCTTTATATATATATTTTTTTATTTTTTTTATTTAGTCATTTAGCAGCTTACTGCTAAATGACTAAACTTACAGCTTATCTTACTTACAGCTTACATATATTATATATATATATATACAGTGTTTCACTGGTGCATATAAATAAACATTTAAAAAGCATTTTGTAACTACCATAACTGGCTATACAAATGCATACGGCTGATAGATACTGGACTGGACTGGAATGGAATAGAATAGAACATTTTAAGGGCATCAATGATTTGGACTTCAGTAGCAAAAGTAGCTGTGGAGTTGGTAAGTTCAGTTTCGTGAATCAGTTCTACTTGTTTGTTTCAATAAATCGATTCAAACTCTGATTCAATGATTAATTTGTGACTAAACTAAGCAAAAAGGGTTCTGGTAAAACATCAGTAAATAAATATTACTGTGTATTGTTATACTGGTGCATATAAATATTTTTAAAAATTAAATATAAATTTAGTAAGAAATAGAGTGGGAAAACAGCATTTTACATTTTTTAACTAATTGGCTACAATAATTTAAATGGCTGAAAGTCAAAATAATGATTTCTCTGAAATAAAATAAAATGGGCAAATACATAACTGCAAATACACACTGAATATACACATACACACACACACACACACACACACACATACAAAAAATATTGAAAAATAATTTAGTTGCCCAGACCTAGACCTACTGCTACTGGTATCAAGGCAGTCCAAGTTGATGACAAACTTACAGTGGTTCAGATCCAAGTAAATCAACATAAAAAGAAACTTGCAGCAGGGAGAGGAACTTATTGGAAGTATAAGCAGCATAATCATTCGTATTTTAGCGCCAACATATTTTCACAAAGGGAAGAAATACACAGACCTTTTGTCCAGAAGTGTCCTCACTGCGGAAGGCAATGGACTCCAGTGTGTTTCCTCTGCTGGTGAGCGCTCTGATGCAGGGATCTCTAGCCTCAAACGCTTTCTCCAGAAACATGACTGCTGCTCTGGCTCTTTCCTGCACCTGGCGGGCATGGGCACCATTACTGATCCCCTCACGACTGTCCTGCCCTTTAGCCAGACCATCCAACTCTGTGATCACTGTTACAATGACAAAGAGAAACATTAAACAGGAAGGAAGAGTGAAACATTTGTGTGTATTTTAATTATCAAAGAGGGTCTCACCAATAAGAGGCACAACCAGGATGTACGTCCCACAGGCCAGAAGCTTCCTCAGGCCCTCCAGATGATCTATGAAGCCGTTTGTGTCTGGGACCAGATAGAACGGCCTGATCTCAATCTCCAGCTGCCCACCCGTCTGCAGAACAGCCTGGAGGACAGAAACAGACACTTGCTCAGCTCTTTATCATTAGCTTTAAATATTCTGGTGCAAGAAACACTAACGTCAAAAGTAGACAAGGTGTACAGATAAGGGTTTGCACAGACCAGTCGACTTTAATGCTCTGCCATGACGCTTTAAGCTTGATGTTGACTAGTCGCTGGTCGTATAGAGGGCGCAACAGGTTAAGAAATCTTTGAATTCCACATTTACGCTCCGTTTGCAAACAGTTAAAATGACAAATAAATACATACTCCGAAAGCGCTTCACAAGACTTGCGTGATTATACCATCTGGATGCTCGAAACTGAACGGGAGAATGCACGTTTTAAACAGCTTATTGTACAGGTATTGCCATTCTAATCTAATGCGCTGCTGCGCTGTTGTAACGCACACACATAGGCTAGACAGTAGTGCACACAGAATCATTCAGTAGCGCGGAAATGTATTGTCAACACTGTTCTGTGTTATCTCAATAAATTCGCTTAGAAACTGAAACGTTCTAGCATATATTTCTTTGTAACTAAAACCCACAGTTTCTATTAGTAGAGAGACGCTATTAGAATTAATTCACACACGCAACCGCTCTCTCACTAACGCATTCATATAAATGCAATCTTTACTGTGCTACTTTATCTGTATCTGATTTCGAACGAGCAGAAATCTGTGAGAAATATAGCAACCCACGAGCTGTTAACGAGCTGTTATAGGAGCAATAGCCATGTGTGGCAGCGCTGTGTCATTTTGCCATAGCTGTGCACAAGGTGTTTGAGGCTTATTTGCTCATTAATGACGTCATCAGCAACTAGTCGATGTCGACTCGACTTTCATCACATAAATGTCGACTTTAAAAAAAAAAAAACTGAATTCTTTCAACCCCTAGTACAGATAAAGATGGCGTCTGGAGATACCTGTATCTTGTCCAGCCGTTTCTGCTGCTGTGCCAGCTTGTGTGCGAGAGCGTGACGTCGTGCCCTCAGCTCTCTGATATCATCCTCACTTCCGTCTCCTTCCATCTCTCCATCGATCTCTCCTTCTGATGCAGAGAGAGATGATTCCTCCAAAATGACATCATCCTCCTGAGAAAACAGTGAAATTAGCAGTGCTCTGCCTGGATAGTTAACCACACATTCTGTTGAGTGAGTTACTGGAAAAAAGATATATTGAAAAAAAAACACAAAAAAAACATTTTATATATATATATATATATTTGTGGATAAGCAATACAAAACAGATAAAATTCTCTTTCATACATCATTCATACATAATGAGAGGTTCACTATACCTGTTCTTGCATTTGCACCTTGTTCTCCGTGTTTACGCTGGGTGTAGGAGGTGTTCCCATGGAAATGTACTTTCCTCCTTTAAAAGCCAGCAGCGGCTCTTCCTGCCCACACAGAGCTTCCAGGAAGTACTT